GGGGGACCAGATGGCTTTGCCTCTACATAGGCAGAGCCCGCTGTCAATCAGCCAGCTGGGTGGATCTCAACAGTATTGTCGGGTTCCGTCCTGGCTGCGGCGCTCTCAGTATATAACGAGCAATATCGATATCTACAGGTGAAACTCGAATAATTAGAATATCGTGCAAAAGTAATTGCAGTAAGTGCTGCAAAAGGGGCCCAAACCAAGTACTGAGTACATATGCATGCTTGTACTTTTCAGAGGTCCGATATTGTTCTGTACAATCCTTGTTTTATTGATTGCATGTAATATTCTAATTTTTTGAGGTTGTGGATTTGGGGTTCTTGGGGTTTTCATGAGCTGTAAGCCATAATCATCACAATTATGACAAATCACGGCTTGAATTATCTTGCTTTGCATGTAATGAGTCTATCTCATATATTAGTTTCACCTTTTAAGTTGCATTAGTGGAATAAATGAACTTTGCACGATATTCTAATTATTCGAGTTTCACCTGTATGTTGAGCTTAAACAGCCCCAGGCGGCTCGAACTATAACTGAAATGATATCTATTTTCAAGAAGTCTTCATACTATCTGCAACATAAAATAATGCACATACATGAAAAAATATGTTCACTTCTACCATACACGATGTAATCATCAAATATTTTCCAGATCTATCCATGTGATTAAATGTATATTTATGTATATGTGGGATGCTGAAACAACTGGTGGATGGTGCCACAGCAATGCAGAGGAAAACATGTCGCCAGCACACCTTAATGTGCCTTTATTAGCATGTAATAAGCATGTCAAAGAAACAGATTGCACAACTCAGATGATGGCCAGCAGGCCTGAGACAGGTGTCTGCACTTTGGAATTCTTTATAAGCAATAAGGGTCCCCACACACCTTACGATTATCGTACGATAATCGCGGGAAGTCCCGCGATCGTACGATTATCGTAAGGTGTGTGGAAGCCGTGCGACCTCTACTACTGTAAGGTCGCACGACTTTTAACTTACGGACATGTTCGAAAACCCGCCGAGCATCGTACGATGTTCGGCGGGTCTGTAGCATTTTCGTAAGATAAAAGCCGGGAGCGCCGGTGTGCGCATGCGCACACAGCCCGTTCGCCATTGCGGTCATCGGAAACACGCCCCTCAGGGGGGGTGGCTTACAATCATCGCAAGTACGATCTGCCTATGCAAGATAGGCAGATCGTACGTTTTTTTAAGTACCTTACAACCATCGCAAGACTAAGGTCTTGCGATGGTTGTAAAGTGTATGGGCACCTTTACACATCACATGAGCTCTGTTCTATGCAGCCCTGAATAGCACACAACTGTGGGCATAGAGAAGATGACTACCATTGTAATGTGACCACCTAGAATTAGGATATGTATGCTTTTCTTCATTAACATTTAGGTGCAGGAGTTGGGCTTTAAATCTAACCTTTTTCAGTAAAAATCACATTGACATACAGCTCTTCATGTTGATATGAAATCATCTTTGATTCATTAGTTAAACTTTTTGCTTTTACGTACAGTTACTGCTTTTCCATTTCCTGGGTGAGTGAGGCACTGATGATGTAGCTCTGGTCTTATAGATGTATCCCGGGAAAGCTACATCACCAGTGCCCTCCTGGGAAATCTCATCTGTAAACTGCAGAATCTCAGAGGAAAGGCATAAACCCTCCCCAGATGATGTGTACTGTCACATGTTCCAGGAGGCAGACCCCGAGTTCCAGGAAGTAAACAGAGACGGATTCATTTGTCCTTAGTGAAAATGGTCACTGTGAGAAGAATGATATAACAGGATAGTATATGCTGTGACTTTAAAACTCCTTATTCGGGGGCCCATTTGAAAAATGACAGGAGTCACCGCTTATCATCAGGCTGTGACAGACAGGGCTGTGCCACCAATGAAGGCAATCAGGGCGCTCGCCTCAGACAGCACTCAAGATGACACTGAGGATGCTCCAACCTCAGTGCAGAGCAGTAACAATGAACCTGATAAGATCACAGGCTCACCATTACTGAGCTCCACCGCACCGGTCACACCTTAATGCTGGTACGGATATGCAGGGCAGGCTGTGGTTGCATTCTGCCTTAGCAGTGATGTCAGGTGGCTTCACCCTGCTGCAGGTCCCAGTTTTTGAAGAGGAAGCAGGAAGAGGGATTCATATAGAGAGAAGCTGATGGGGGGGGGGCAAAAAAAAAAAGCCACCGTGGAGGGCACTCGGCCCTGGCACAGCCCTGGGTAGACCAACCCCAAAATATCCATCCACACCCATGCTTTGCTTCCCAAAGCTGACAATGAAATAGGACCCTATATAGCAGGGGTAGACAACCTCAGCACTCCAGCTGTGGTCAAACTACAAATAACATCATGCCTTTGCCTTTTGAGTCCTGCCTGTGGCTGTCAGAGTCTAAAGGTGCCCATACACCTTACAACTATCGCAAGACTTTTGTCTTGCGATGGTTGTAAGCTCATTAAAAGCTTGTACGATCTGCCCATCTTGGACAGGCAGATCGTACTTGCGATGACCGCAATGCTGAACGGGCAGTGTGCGCACACCGGCCCGTTCCACAGTTGTCGAACGAGCAGGCTAGAAACCCGCCGAGAATCGTATGATTCTCAGCGGGTTTTGTAGCATGCTGGTTCAACAAAAGACGTGCGACCGTACAGTAAAAACGGTTGCACGCCTTCCATACAACTTGCGATTATTGTACGATCGCGGGATTTCCTGCAATTATCGTACGATAATCGCAAGGTGTATGGGCACCTTTAGAATGCCTCATGGGATTTCTAGTTTCACCCCAGCTGGAGTACCGAGGTTGTCTACTCAAGTTATACCCCCATACACTGAATTTTGGCCAATTCACAGGAATCAGCTCAAATTCTAACACCTTCTGTATCTCCAATAACTTTTTGGATCACTTGCCCCTTCATGTAGATTGTAAGCTCTCAAACGCGGGGTCTTTCTAATCCTATTGTATGTTATTGTGTTGTACTTGTACTGTCTACACATACAGTGTGTTGTAAATTGCTGTGCAAACTGTTGGCACCATATAAATCCCAAATAATAATAACAGCAGTTGGCCACCACAACGCTAAGCCTTTGCCCCCGGTGACAGAATGTCTAGCTTCCCCACTGCCTGAACGGCCGACTTCAGGAAATGCCTTAGAAGGACCCAGTACAGTGTAAGGCTCCTGCGCAGCACGAAAACGCTAAAATCTTTCATCTGCATGGATTCTGCTCGTTTGGGAATATTA